AAACAAGACCAACAGAACCAACAAAATATGGAAATAGAGCAAGGGAATGGACGCGCGTCGATGACGGCGCAGAGATACAACTATTCGTGCTTGAGGGATATCCATGTTGTATCTGCAAAATTGAAGGCGCGATGGCGCGTTGCGTGAACTCGCATAATGTGTCGCTTGGACTCGTGAGAAAAGCTAAAAAATAAGGCCTGAGTAAGTTCCTCCTATCTTCGGCTAACTTGACACTCGACTTTTCCTTTTTTTATATTTAACGTCTGATTTTGTTGTTGTTGCTTTTCGTAGAATGTAAATTATTTGTATAGACCTATATCTAATGTTTGTACACGGAAAAAATTAAATTTCTAATTTAACAATTCAATTGCTAAAAAAAAAGTAACTGCAATATTTCAACGTAGATCTCATAACAGAAAAATACTACTTTAACCACTATTGTAAGCTAATTTAACCACGAGGGTGGTTAAAGTAGCATTTCTTGTTGTAAAATCTACATTGAAACATTGCAGTCACTTTTTTTAGCAATTGAATTGTTAAATCAGCAATTTAATTTTTTCTGTGTACGTAACAGCCCTATACTACAATTACTACACCCTGTGGGGCACGTGTGTTTTTGACTAGGTTAGTCAATTTAACTAGGCTTGGGCATCTAAGAGTTAGGTATATTCCCTTTAAATTTTCTACAAATAAATTTGAATAAGTGCAAAAATTTAAAGGAAATTTTAAGAAAAACTGTTGCCTCGTTAATCTTAAATAATATACAATAGATTTTCCATGTTGTGATAGAAATTACGCACTCTCTGACCGAAGCCATTTTTACGCTACTTTTTAGTATGGGGAAAATTTAGTAATATGCTCAATATGAAAGTAAATCCACCGTATGTTTCACAGCAAGGTCTTGTATTAATTATAAAGTACGAGGAAATTCGATAAGAATCAGATCGCTAAAAAATAATAAATCGATTTACACAATGACGCATCGGGCTTTTACTGAAAATATACTTGGTTTTTGCTGGGCATAATTTTTGATTTCACAATAAAAATGTAAGATGTAACTCACGTCTTGTTGCTTTGGTGACTGTGAAAGTTGAGATGAACCATGATCATTCCTTTGTGGGCTCTTCTTCATTGATGCGGAAAATGGAATCAATCCGATCACACACAAGCAAATAAATTTGTACATTTTAAGTAAGCGCATTATATGTTCCTCAGTTGCGGTATTTACTTATCCTTCAGAGGGCAGCTTTTATTGACATGACCATACCATTTTCTCACCAAACAGTCTTCCAGTCACCGACTGTTACTCCTCCACCAGTAGAGGAAGATGAACAAATTTTAATCACGCTGCGTGATAATTGATTTATTATTCATATATTACGATATATTATTTGGCCTATGACACGCACCATCAATGTCCGATTTTGAAAGTAAAATTTGTGATTAGGTTTTGCCGTTAGCTCGTACTTAATCTCTTTTATTATAATTTTTGAATCTTAAAATCGACGATCGTGTACCTAATCAACGACATCCAAAACTACGAGAGAAAAAGATGGGAGAAACCCCCCCCCCCCAAAAAAAAAAACAATGATTGACCAGAAATTCTAAAAAATAATATTCGTGTTAATCATCAAGAATAATGTGATTATTTTAAGGCTGATGGATTAAAATTCTAAAAATACTAATTCCACTGTTCTGAACAAAAAAAAGTTTTACTCCTCGTGAATGTATGAAAATGTTCGAGCCGAGTGTGTTCTTTTCATTAAATGGTTGATATACTTTTAACTGTTGAGAGGTATGTATACTCAATGTTTTGGCTAATATTGATTATTATCAACAATTTATTTCTAACTATCTCACTTGTCACGGTCGATCGTTGATTTTATAATTAAAATAATAAAAGAAGAGCGCTCGCTAATAGTTATGATGAAAATTAACACACAAGTTACTGGATATCACTGCTGACTGTTCAGGATGATTTTGTAAAAAATTGAACTGAAATAGTGTTCTAGTTACTTCTGTTTATTTACATTTTACGAGGCACAATTTTAAACACTCAAGCTTGCGCAAACCGAAAATCCAGCAGAGCTTGGTTATATAATCCAATAGGAAACTGCGAAAACAAACCCTCATTCAGAACTCGCCTATAAAACACGGCCAACTGAACAGATTTTAAGATCAACTTCCACACAAATCTATACCTCGTATAAGACTGACTATCAGTCCGTCATTCTGAACTTTATAAACTGAACAGGGAAACCCGGTTATATCACTTTTTGCAAGGGAAAAAGCTTCATAGTTACATTGGTGGCATGGAAATGACGTTTTAAGGTTTCCGCCGCACATAGTTTTTAGCAAGATACCATTATTTTTCCGACCGTATGTCAAAGTACGTAAGAGAGAGGTACGCCAAAAAACTTTCACTCGTCGAGTGTTGCCTTTTTACAGGAAAAATAGTCTGCCTCTAAATATATCGGAAGCGAGAAAGTTTCTTTTACTGAAATTTTCGGGTCATATTCAACGTGATGTCATCCACATACCGATTATCGACCAAGCTCAATTTTTTCTATTTTTTTATCTACTCAATTGAGGCACAAAAACAACTTTCCAAAATTTTTCGGGCCTCTATTTCCCCGTACCCCAAGTGCATCTGTTTCCCATGGTCCATGGCAGCCGATAATTGCGCTTTTAGCTGAATCTTCACAAAATGTACCTTTACGGCAACAAAAATTAGACCATGAAAAATTCTGTATCTGTATCTGCTGCGAAAAATTAGACATTCGAGGCTGAACTGAGATGCGCGAGGAGCGAAAAATGGTGGAAAATAACCAAGTTTTTAATTTAAAGGGGAAAATCTGAGATATGAAGTTTTTCGAGAAGAGTCGTCACAAAATCAGAGAGGTCTTAGGAAAAAATCCAGCTCATTATGCTTTGTCTCTTTGTTCCAATGTCCCTATAATTTTTTTTCAATTGTAAAAAAGTGTGGAAAAGCTCTATAAAGAGAGCGCAATATCCATGGTGGTGCATCTCCTGAAAATCAGAAAGTTGAAGAAAAAATAATTCCTATATAATGCAGCCGACGGTAAATTTTTTTAAAAACGCTAATGAAATCTTTAGGCAAATTATAAAATTCTAAAAATTGGTCTACGTGTTTTACCATTGCATTTTTAGACGATTTGGCAGGGGAGACCATAGTAAAATATAAATCGACGGCAAAAGGGCAAAACTACCAAACCACGTATCTCGTTTGCGGTGTTTAGAAATCCCCCCTCACACTTTATTTTTTTGGAGGAGATCAAATCTATATCATTCCATGAAATTTTCACAGACTTTTTTCCGCATGGCGAGGAAAAATCGCAAAAGTTTTCAAAAATTCACGTTGAGTAGTTTTCCATTCAAAAACTAAAGTATGACAGGAAGTCCGCAACTTCGCAAAGCGAGATACGCGGTTTGGTAGTTTCACCGTCGAGATATGCGTCAGTAAAAGTCAGAAAATGTCTACATGCGTAGCAAAACTGCCCAAAGAAATTCTACGAAGATCCACGCGAGCCCTTCATTGTTATTTTTACCCCATTTGCCGTTATGACGCATGCATTTCCGGGTCGCATTCATCCCGCCACACAGTGGTTCGAGTCAATTAGAGAGGTTGGACATGAAATTTTTGACTAAAACTTCAAATTTTGGAGTTTATTTCGTCACATTTTACATTTCAAGGGGTGCTTTTAAAAGAAAATTTCACGAGGAAACCGATGGAACCACTTTTAGAACCTCGAAGTCTTGTATAAACGGAGTTATAAGTGTTTAAAATTTCAAAATTTTGTCCGACCTCTCCTATTGACTCGATCCACCGTGCGCCGATGCAAAACAGCGAAGCGTGACGCAAGGTACCAACGCATGACATTTTGAACCTGACAATAAGTCTAAACACGCATGATGATGTATACTTCAACATGCCTAATTACCGCAGCTTCCACAAAAGCTTTCATAAAAACTCTATTCCTCTCTGTCTCATCACCTTTACAGTTAGGCCTCGTCACCACGGGGGTCGTTTCACGGGATTTGTCCCGCAGGGAAAAATCCCGCCAACGAAGTCGGGAAAAATATTGAGTTAATCAATCGTATCAAGAGTATGGTCCTTGTACTGCCGTGCTAAGGAAAAACGCCGTATGAACCCTCAGGCGTTGCCAAATTTCCTTTGGTAACACACGAATTTCCTGATAAATTTATGAATATTCCTCTTCCAATTTTTCAGATAATTTTGTTCGCAATTTCGCCTAAAGGTCCTAAAAATTTCAAGGAAAAATATTCATAACTTTTGTCATAAATAAACATTTTAATAAAGGAAATTCGGCAACTCTCGAATGTTTATACGGCGTTCCTCTTTAGCACGGCAGTGTACTCCTGAGACTAGCTGAGAAAGGAAGAAGAAGGGAAAGCGAATTGTGCGATGTTTTGTTGGTTACTTCATTGTTCGTGTTTGTTTCGTTAAAATAATGTGTCCAATTGTTAATCGTGTTCAATTTTCTTCACAATGACAAGAATTAATGACCCGGATTAATTATTATCAGATTATTATATATTATATCATTCATTATTATCAGCCGGGTCAGAAATATTATTGTTTGAATTTCTTAATCGGTGACCATGCATGGGTTGAAAATACTTTGGGGCACAATTTGGAAAAATAAGTGGTGGGTCTGGGGGATTTACCTCCAGCTAAGGGGGTCTTGGACGGATCAAAATTGGTCAATTACGTTTCTCTGGCTCGCAATTTTCTTTTTTTTGTTTACTGTGACGTATAATCCTTTTTTCCAAAAACAAAACAAAAAAGTTCTCAGAACTTCGGTGGAGGTTCCTCCTTGGTTCCTCCGCCTCGCCTCACACACGCGCTCAATTGTCGTTAAAGGTGCATGTGAGAGAGAGCTTTTGTTTGCCCCCTGTGAGGCTTTGATCGTTTGATCTGTTTTTAAAAAAGTTGTCCTCTTCTATTATTTTTTCAGGAAACAAGTATGCAATGCAGTCCATGAAGTATGTTTTGGCTAACACGATTCTACACTTTGAATTTTTACCAGTTGAAACTCTACCGGAGGATTTATCGGAGATGGAGTGTAATTTTGCTCTATTCCTGGTGCCCAAATCGGGATTCAATGTCTATGTCCGAAAGAGACGTACATCTCAACTTTCTCCGGACTTGATAAATACGGCAGAGGCTACGGTGTGACCAACTTTGTAATCGGACTAAAAAGCCGATCTGTCAACTATAGATGTCCTTCAACTTGCAACACTGCAACCTGAATTTTGGCAAAAGTTCTCCATAGTTAAAAAGATTAGGTGGGGATTCGGCCGGTTTCTGATTTATTATTCAGAGTATGGAAAGTTTGGCAACAATGCACAGAACAAACATGAATGAAACGTGGTATAAAAGAAATGAGCTATTTAAGTAAAGTAGTGTACGTACATATCTGAAATTTACATTCGCGATTTAGTAAAGATCGAGTGGAATCTTCTTTTAAAGTTTTTAATAACACATGAACATTTGGTTGTTTCTTGTTAACGAGTTTGTTCAACTGGGAGTTCCAGCCTTTCACCAAATTATTTGTACGGTCATGAACAGAGGAGCAATTCCACATCTCCTTCGGGATGTTTGGATTATCCACCGATTGTTCCACAGAAGAATCATTAAATTTCAAAATGTTATCGTGTAATGGGCAATCCTCCATAATAATGAACCAGACATCATCTTGCTCATCAAGGTCAATAAGTGCCGAAGAGGCACATTTTCTAATATGATCTCTTATGGCAGTACAGCTTTATACTCAACGCTGAGACCCAATTCCTGAACTTTCCTCCAAATTGACCGGTTAAAATGAAAGTTACACCCGTGCAATTTTGCGTCAGGATATAAATTTGACAAAACGGATATGACAGCAATCTCAAAATCTAAACAGAAACTTTGTGGCTTCCACGTTCGAAATTTTTCCACATGATAAGAGCATTCCTCTGCTTCGCATTAGTACATTGTTGCCAAACTTTCCACACTCTGGATAATAAATCGGAAACCGGCCGAATCCCCACGAAAAATCCGACCGGCCGAATCCCCACGCGACCAGTTTAAAATGACCTCCCCAGAAATAAAATCCCTCGGATTTCACACCTTCATCCGAAGTCTGAAATCCTTCGAAACGTAGGTACACGTTGGAGGAAAGAAATGAGTAGCTCTTGACAACACAATCCACGTTGGAATATACCATCTCAATAATAACATCCTGAATATATGTGTATCTTTTTTCAGCATTTATGTATTTGACATGGTGCAGTCGTCATGCACATTTCTTAAAATATCAAGTTTCCAATTAATTTACTGCGCCGTGTTTGCATTCCTTCAGCGAAAAAATGTATTGCAGTTCCAATCGCCATATCGTTGATAACAGGTCATTATTTTTCCGATCCACTATCAGCAAATTCACACTTTCAACTTATTCTTAGCCCTGACATAATCATCGATATAAAACGGGGCATCTCTCTTTAACTCTTTTTTATTTTTTTCGAATCCCTTGGGGCTCACTTTGACCGGAACCCGCAGTGCTCGGAAAAACCGGAAGAGCCGGAAGCATCGGATGATAAAAAAGAGGAGGATATCAGCCACACCGAGTAAGGAAACTCCCAGGAAGAGGCCAGCACTGTTACCGAAAGAGATAAGAGCGTCCATAAAAGAGAACACCAGATCCGTTTGGTATTGGATACAGAACGAGCTCCGGAAATGTACATCCACTTGAATTGTGTTTTCCCCTCCGCTAAAAACAAATTAAAATATGAAGATTGTATGCCGAAGCAGGGTGGCATGAAACGTAGGAAAGAAATAAAAGACAGAAGCGGATCCAGCAATTTGACAACACCGGTTCTCCTCCATTTAAACCTATGCTAAACAATCGATTCTTTCCGGAGCACCTAGCCCCTCCAAGAATCGATACATTTCCATAGGTTTAAATGGGGAAAAGACGATGTTGCCAACTCGCTAGATCCGCCAATGATGAAAGATAGGAAATTTCACGAGGCTGTGAAATATTTAATATTTTTCAGGGGCTAGAGTATGCAACCCGCACTCGAACACACTAATATGAAGAAAATCAGAATTTTTACGTTTTGCGAAACATGAAAAGGAATCGGTATTTTTCAATATCTTTCATAAATTTCTGAAATTTCATGAAATGTTTCGCGTGAAAATTTTCTACTGATTTTGCATATTTCTTGCACACTCGAACATCTTACTGAATAAACATGCTTGCAATCTTACATTTGACAATTTTGTTCACGATAAGTATTTTAAAATCAGCGAAGAATTTAGCATTGAATAATTTGTGACTTTTGACCCCTCTCCCTCCTCAGGCCCGGATACACGCTCAAATTTCCATCAATTTCCGATCAAATGGTGACTGGTGCGCACCATCTACCATCAATTTTTTGCGGCCTGCAAAAATTTGATGGTAGATGATGGAACCGTGGGTCTCGTCCGTCATCTGATTTCCACACAACCGTGTTTATTTCATGCTTATTTCAATCAACACGCTGTTTTAATTAATTTTATCCATCAAACTAGATAACTCTCGACCGTTATTTTTGTCATCATTTTGATCGGAAATTGACGGAAATTTGAGCGTGTATCTAGGCTTTTCAAGATTTATTCGTACTGTAAACTAAGCTGTCCTTGCAGCGAAAAACTCACGTTGATATAGACGTGGAGAGACTTGCGTCGTACATCTGCTCATCGCAGTCCTCCGGGCAATCGCAAAGTATACTTTCATCCTCCATGGGCATAGGTGGTGACTTCGATTTCAGCCTTTCGTTGGACAGTGCGACGTTGTGTTTCATCAAACAAATCAAACCCATAATATCGCAAGCTGGTCGGACGTTGCCTGTAATGAAAAGAAATGTCAATAACAAACGAACGCTTTGAAAGGATCCTTACTTTCAGTTATGCACAAAAAACTATTTATCAATACAACTTTTTTCACACTTTTTTTCATTAATTTATTTATTATTATTTTTAAAGCGTGGATGTATGACTCCTATCCAAAAAATGGAGGAGGCAGTTCGGTTCTAGAGATGTACCCAGGAAGGGCTCTTCGTTTGGGCACGAGTTCTGAAAAGTTGTTGAAACACAGTTAGGGGTCCGTCCAAACGGCTACAAGCAACTATTAGTGCTCCTGAGCCGCTCACTTTGCCTAATCCTGTTATTGAAGGCGAACTGGTCTTAATGAGCGTGGAAATCTCTATCAGATCGCGAAACAAAGACTCCACACCAATGTTTTTTTTGTTTTTTTCCATCGAAACCTCATGCAGAACTTTTGAGCACATAGGAAATTTCCAAAATCAACTCATTGCCTAAAAATTGGTTTTTACTCATCTGTTGACTTCAACGTCCTGCTTGCCAAAAATCAAAATGAACCTTGATAATAACCCGTTATATACTAGCTTATTATCCCGTGCTACCAAATGGTTTTCTCGGTCAATTTTTATTTGAAAGCTTGAGAGGAATTTGTTTCAGAATAGGAACAAAATATTTTTTCTATCTTTTTTACCTGATTCGAAGGTTTCTCAACAGATACGTTTGATTTTAACAGTCAATTTGAACTTCAATTTTCAGAAAAGAACCAACATTTCTAGGTATTTCTTTTAAGGGCCTGCCTATGTACAGAAACTGATTGCAAATATGTTGCTCTAAGATGAGCCAGGGACATCTCTTGTCAGTTCATTGCTTTACATTGATTATTATGCGAATTATATGAATGAGAATAGCTAAGGTCTCACTCATAACTTAATGCTGAAAATTTCCAATGTGATTTCCATGTTCTGCTGACTGATTATTAAAATCTAGAGACAAAGTAGAAGGCAAAATGGAGCTATCCTGTTGGTGGAGGCGGGTAGTTGCAAAGGATAAGGGCGGTCAGTAACAGACTGACTAACGGCAACCCACGAGGGACTCCATGGTCAGTCCATCAGTTTCTCCATTTGTCCGTAAGAGGCACCCGTTTCAACCAATAGGATTATTTCATTGTCCCTTTGTCTTCTTTTTTCTATAGCTTTGTCTATAAAGTTCAACAACCAGCCTAGACTTGTGCCGGTTTGCATTCGTGCATTTTATTCCTCATACCCTCTACGTTTGAATTCACTGGAAAAAAACACATTGGATCTAAAGAAAACAGAAGAAAAAGGGGAAAAAATAAATAAGCCGGTAATAAATAAACATGGATTTAAGAGAAAGGAGCAGAAGAGGAATTTTTCGTTAAAAATGCTAAACTTCAGCCCGTGTGACATACTGGAAAAAATAAAACCAAATTGGATCTAGAGTCCGAACTCCTGAAAACATTGACAAGAAAAAATGCTCTTGATTCAATCGGATTTTTGCTTGAATCAAAACGGAATCCGCTTAAATTAAGAGGCTTGGTTCTTGATTTAAGCTAGATTCTGATTGAATCAAGAGTATTTTTTCTTGTCGATGTTTTTAAGAGTCTGGACTCTAGATCCAATGTGTTTCTTTTTCCAGTGTTGAGTGAAAGTCAAGTATAAGCTTTTGAGATATACCTTCGTCAAAGGGTTGAAACATGAAATCCGGCGTGCAGTTGCAAAATTCTACCGCGTGATCGAGACAGCATTCGGTGATACAGTTCTTCTGGAGGTAGCCCCTGTTCATTCGCTTCGTCTCGAAGGGGAAGAAGCAGTTCCTTTTTTCGGCGGACACAGCCCCCAGGCGCTCGCTAGTCTTCACGGCGTCCCCCCACACCTCTATGTCCCCCGACAGACCCTCCTTGATGAAGATTACATTCTGGGCATTGTAAGCGCTCGGATCGTCTAACAGGACCTAATGAGAAACATGAGACGAGTAAGTTCGTGGAGGCTGCATTTTGATAAGGCCATAATTACCTAGCAACGTCTTGGAATCAGTCTTTTTGTATCCAACGCCTAGTGATATGGTGACTGTATGGAATCCCAATGGGGGCGGGGAGGCGATCGCCTCCTAAATATTTGCCGCGGAAGTCCCGAAGGGGCCCCCGCGGCAAATTTTTTTCGAGTTATATGGTTTTTTCCCTGTAAGGTTGTAATTTTTTTATCCTTTTCAGTCACTAAGAGGCCCCAAAATCCTTGAAAATTTGTCTCTAAGAGACATGAAAGGTCTCCTAAAGCTTATGTGATGAAGGGGCTCCCGAAGAATCCTGAGAATGGGTTATTTTGAAGTTCAAATACTGTAGAATTTGACTCCAATAATGCTTAAAATTGCGTTTAAAGAGTGTGAAATTTTCCAAATTTTCCGGGGGAGGGCCCCCGAACGACAGGAGGGCCCCCCAAATTTAGGTCGCCTCCTAACTTTTTGACTACCAGTCTGCCTCTGGGGAAAGCTCACTAAAACAGAAGCTCTTATGATTTCCTCTCTCCGCCGTCAGTGAGTGGAGGGAATAAAGTAGTAATGTAGTCATGATCTTTTATATTATATGGACGTATTTCTACCAAACAGACCTATGTGGAGGTGAGAAATATGGGGTGTGCTCCAGAAAGCTGCATAAGAAGCAATGTAAAAGTGGGCGTGATTCCTTTTGAAGAATTGGAAAAGCGGGATTTTACATTCTATCAAACAGACCTATGTGTCAACTGAATGTGGAACTCATGAGCCGCGGGCATGGCAAGAGAGCGTTGTAGACAGGGCTCATGAGTTAAAGTGCCCCGACGACGATGTCCCCGCTGCCTTGCCCTCGAGCTTACCCTCGTTCGTTGCCACTGACGTCACTGGCGCTTTATTATTCTCATTCACTCTTACGGCCAGAGAACTAACGAGCACACCCCATATTTCTCACCTTCACATAGGTCTGTTTGGTAGGAATACGTCCATATATCAATGAAAAGAATCGTGTTTTTCTCCTCTTCTTCTTCTTTTTTGTCTGTGGAATTCAATGTTGGAATTTTTCGAAAATGTTGAAGTAGAATTGACGTGCATTCTGGTCGAAGATATGACGTGAGTACGAATGAAAAAAAGAGAGGAATAAAAATAGTTATGAGAATCTCTAAAAAAAAAAAAATTAAAGGAGCGCAAGAAAATTCGGTGCCCTAACAGTTGGCACCCCATGCAAGTGTGAAATTTGTGTGCCCCCCGTGACGAGCCTGAGTGCGCACATGTGCCAAAACCTTTATCTCAATTACTCGGAAACTCAAAGTTTTACGCAAGTGTGCGGGATTATAATATCGAGGTTTAAAAGCGACAGGGACATGTGTTTTTTGCGATCATTCCCGTAAAACTGAAAAAAAAGTGCACTCGCATCATCAAATGCTTGAATTGGATTCCTGTAGAGCAGCCGCGCGAGGTTAAAACTGCGAAATTAATTTATCGGGATTTTTTCGCCCCCCCCCCTCCCCCTAAAATAAAGGCGAATACAATCATCACTGCGTGAATACGTCAATACAAGTGTGACGCGATTGCCATATTGTGGTGCAAAACCGGCATGTTCCCCTTATAAATGTATGTGTATACTGCCGTGCTAATGAAGAACGGCGTATGAACATACGAGAGTTGCCAAATTTCCTGGAATACAAAATGAATTTTTGAAGGAAGTTACGCGTATTTTTCCTTGAAACTTCCAGATATTTTAGATGAAGTCGCGAACAAAATTGTCCGAAAAACCGGAGGAAAACAGTTCAGAATTTTCCCAGTAAATTCGTCTTATATTGAAGGAAATATGGCAATGGCTAAATGCTCATACGGCGTTCTCGCTTAGCACGGCAAGTTTTATCATACAAGTTGGTGACCTCGCACCGCCACCATACCCAGTGTTCAGTTTTTTAATTAAAATCGTTCTCATGATGATGCTGATGTGTGATTCTGGCATTTCTGTAATGTAGGCTAACCATGATGGTTTAGGTTGGAGTGAAAAACCCTTACATACACCTCTTGTTTTTGAAACTTTAGCAAATTGCAGGCTTCGGTTTGGCTAAACTGAGCTGCACTACTGGGGCGTTCCAGCTCAGTAGTGATAATCGACCAATCTTAAAGTGATTCGATGGACGCTATATATTTTGTGTCAGAACGACATGCGATATATCGCATCGATTGCTTCAATTTTTTCAGCTACTCGTCATTTTATTCGAATTTTGAGATCGCAATTCTGTTGTCAGGAGACTAAGAAATTCACTTACCAATTTTGACGAACAAATTCAAGGTAATGAATGCGTAGTTTTTTTTAAAGAGAAAATGTCGCATTCGAGTGCAGTTTTGATATCAGTAGCGAATGCGATATTTTTCCTATAAAGAAACCACGCATTCATTACCTTGAATTTGTTTGTCAAACTTGGTAAGTAAAGTCTTCAGTCTCCTAGCAACAGAATTGTGATCTCAAAATTCGAACAAAATGACGAGGAAGCTAAAAAAATCGATGTGATCTATGGCATGACGTTATGACACAAAATATGGCGTCCACACTCAAAAAAAGGTATGACTCTGAGACCCATAAAAAATGGCTCGGAGATTCATAATTTCTAACCAAAGTGACTTACCGTCTACAGTATGGCTTTCTGAGCCATACCTTATTGGTCCTGAACCTATGAGCATGGCTCCACGCATTATATTTTATGGCTCCATGATCCATAACTCGGCCGGTAAGTCACTCTTCCCTTACTTGTTTTTTGAGTGCATCAAATCACCTTAACTTCCGGGATTCGGTTATCATAACAAGTTGATGAGTGGTTTAATCAATGGCTTAACATTACCAAGACGCCTTGCTCAGCGTCGACTCCATCGGGAATGGGAAGGGTTTTGATGGTAAATCGGAGCCCCGACCAAGGGCCGTCGGTGATCGTTCTTCGCGGCCTTTTCTCCTCTCGCCAGTCCACCCAAAAATTATCGTCGTCATAAAGGCCATAACTCAGCGACAGCCTTAATGGCAAAAACCGCAAAAAATTTTTAAAAAAGATGGTTGTAAGTCAATAATGATCGACAACATTGTGGTGATTCGTTTCGGGCTCCAACTGCCACAGGGGCTGTATTTTGCAAAAAGGAACCAAGAGCATTGCAATGATGCTAAGATTGTGCAACCTCTTTCGTCTTGGAAAAAAACCTGATCGCCCATAAAAAGTTTGTATTTTGCACCCTATAAAGACTGTAAATTTAAGAAAAAAATTACCTTGTAAATTTCACACTTATATGCATGATTTCATTACTTTTAACGCAAAAGATGAAGATGTACAATCTTAGCGACATTGTAATGATCTTGGTTCCTTTTTGCAAAATGCAATACACCAGGATTTATGGTCTTGATCAAGATTCTTGGTGAACTTTTACTGTTCAGCCAGAAAGGATGGTCGTAGACACATAAATCAGAAAAATTTGCGAAATAAGTATTGCATTCAATAAATCAATCAAATGCGATAATTTTTTCAGGGACCTGTTTTAATTCAATTTTTTGAATTCAATGGAATTCAAATTTTTCAATCTGATTCGTTCCAAATGATTCTTTGGATTAATGCCTTCGTCGTTTCGTGGATTAATTATGGATCTTTTAAACCCAATCAATGCTAACACGCTAGTTTAACGGAAGGCGCAGTCCGGGACGTATCCTCATCCCAAAAAGGAGTTTTCATTTGGAAATGTTGTACATGTTTTTGCAAGCTTGTAGCATATTCGTTCTGTCAAGTGCATGACGTCCGCTTTTTTGAGGATTTACCCCTATTAAATATAGAAAATCTTTCTGATCAGCATTCTCCAATGTTTAGTGAAATGTATGTTTAGTGAATTCTCCAGTGTTTAGTTTTGACCGAGTGCTAGCCAGGGAGTATATCCCTCGATATTCTTCGGGGTTTCAACATGTTTGTCGGCATCAACTGAAAACATTTGCCCCTCAAAAAAGCCCTGAAGGAACCATGATTTTTTCTGTGTGGGGATGGGCAAATGATCCGCACTATTGAAAGCTTTTAAATCAAAATTTTTGACATTTTTCGCCGAAAAATAAGAATAAATTAGTATTAAAAATCTTCGGTAGATTCACTTATATTATAAACTAATTTCGGCAAACATATTAAAATCCCGAGGAAAATTGGAAGATATTGCCTCATTGGTGAACTTACTTTTTACTCTCTGCCGAGACATCAGAGTTAAAGGAGTAGCAGTACCCGTGGGAGGTTTGTTGCAACTCGAAACCCTCACAGCAGTTGAAGAAATTGTTCCTCCACCAACATCTATTATTATCATTTTCATCGAACATTCCCTCGCATGGTCTTCGGGTCTGAAAGAAAAAGCAAAATCGTAGGATTTTGAATATATATGGGTAACAAAATCGACGGAGAGACAAAGCTTGGTCGAGCTAATGTGCCACAAAACAACTTTTTGTCGTGAAAAATTATAAATATAGGTACTGCATTCTAACATGGTGCATAGAGGCATATTAAAATGTTAGAAAGGTTTATTAGGAATGTTGCGTTGCGAGGACGAAAGATAACAGAGGGCACGCAAGCAGACCGTAGGTCCGGCAGGACTTTCAGAGGGGAAAAAATTGTATTAGAATTGAGACAACTCCATAAATCATGTTGCTCTAGCACAACAGATTCGTCTGCGGGTAATACTAGGGATTTAGTTGTACCCAAGAATTTAAACGGCTTACCTCATTTAGTATGTCATTCAAATTGATGAAGGAGTATTTGGAATAATATTCTTGTGTGTGATTCAAAGTTTCAAGTACATCGAAGCCTCCAAATTTTACCACGGACAGTACTGAAAATATCTCGTCAATATCTTGTCGTGACGTATCGTCCTGCTCTTCATAAAATTGCCTGCGGTAAAGAAATTTAGCTCAGATATGACGTTATTATACATTATTTGTCATGGGTACTCCTTATCAATAGGTACACTTTTCTCGATTCAGCGCTTTTATCATTGTCACACTTCCAAATTCTCTCTAGAAGTTTTTTTCTCTTGTCGTGTGTGTAATAAGTATTTTTTGAGCCAAACTACTGTCTAGCTCCACTACATCCCATTTGTTGAAGATCATTAATTTTTTTTTTTTTTTTTTTTTTTTTTTCAAAACTCCTGAAAAAGCTGTTCAAAATAATGTTTCAGAAAACGTTTTATAAATAATTATAGTTAAATGTAAGTTCCACGAAAGTTTTAAAAAACCATTTTTCTACGATTTTTTTTTAAAATTTTTTTTTCAAACATTCAAGTTTTAAAAGATTACAGTAGATCTTTAACAAATGTTGAACACTTTGGTCACTTGACCTTTTCTAAACTTTACTGAAGGGGGGGGGGGAGCAAAACGAGTTTCCTGAAATATAAATGACAGCCATTTTTCTGGAATTATCTTGTGAACATGTGCCTATAGTATACATAAACAATCAATGTATTTTTCGGAAAATTGGCAATGCTGCAATAAAACCTGGTAATAGTTTACTTCATTGGTGCGATAGTGGGGGCGTCCCTGGGATTAAATTGGGGTGTGAGAGAAACAAGTAAAGAATCCTCAATATCGCATCATCCAACGAACACTAAACGGATATCATTACAGCGCCTGAATGCAACTATTTGAACTCCACGGATGTCCGTGTTGCATACGCACGGAGTTGAAGGCGTTTTGACTTTCCAGGCACTCTCTGCTTCACTTGCGACGCAGCGCGGCGGCGGGTTGTACTGCAAATGACAGAGCGCCCTCAATCAGGGCCGGATTAAGGGGGTGGCAACATGGACCGCGGCCCATGGCGGCAAATTTTGCAATTTTTTCTATGTATGTGTAAAAAAATCGGATTCAGAAAAAAAAAATTATCAATGAGAAAAGGGGACAAAATCTCTCTTTCCTGAGAGTATAGTAATTTTTAATTTTGTCGTTTTTCGGTGATACAAGAGACAGCATCTCTAATTGGTAGAGTTAAGAGAGGAACTAAACACACAAATTGGCCTGGAGCTCAGCGCAGAGGGGAATGATGACGAGGACTTGAGATGAAAAGGACAAGCCCTCGGCACGGCCGGCGCGCGGCGCGGCGGTCGACATGTAACACATATTAGCGCCTACAAGACTGCATGAATACTTCACCCATTGCGTCAAACACAGTGCGGTCGGGAGCAGTTGGCATGAAACGCATAGCGCCTACAAGACTGCAGGAATACTTCACGCATTGCGCCAAACACAGTGCGATCAGCGCGGCGCAGCGGCGGAAGTTAAAATTATATTAAACCACATTTATGTTTGTACTTTCATAATTTTTTGGTTCATTCCCCATAAATGGAGGACCTTGTCCACACAGATATGTTTACGGAACTTAACTTTCGCACAAAGTTCCGTGAAATTTTGCAAGTAGTGTTGATAGGGCTTTCGCAAAAAATGTATTCAACACGAGTAGGTAAATGCGTCTTATGCACCCCTCCCCTTCGGCACGTTCACTTGATGGTTTTTATTGATGTTTCAAAACGAATGAGGAGGGGACGGCAAAAAACAGGGGTAAGTAGGTAAATCCGGTCCTGCCCTCAATACTTCGTTTACACAACGGAGATAGTAGTAAGGCACAGATATAATAAATTGCTCTACGAATCATGTTTAGTATATCACCACATTGAAATTGATTCGCTTTGTGTTCGTTGCATGCCATGCGATATTGATTGAGGAGGTTTTGGAGGAGATTTCCCTTTGAGGAGGTTTCCCTTAAACCTCAACTTAAGGTGCTCACATCCTACATATGTGAGGAACTATTCGTGCATGGTGGATGTCTTTGTGATTTTAACAAAGAATTGAGGGGTACTCTGTCATTTTCAATCCTCGCAATGCAGTCCACCGCCACGGGCGAAGCGGTGAGTGCCTGGAAAGTCAAAACGCCTTCAACTCCGGACATAGGCAACATACACATCCGTGGAGTTCGAATTATCGCACTCAGGAGCTGTAACGATATATTCGTTAAGTGTTCGTCGCATGCAGCGCTAGAACTGAGGAGTGAGGACTAACTTGTTTCTCTAACACATCAGCTTTAGTAAAATCGGTCGTCTTTTTTCCATCGTCGCGTCGCCCCCCTTGCGCCGCTAAAGTAAACTATTATTGTTTTTTAACGGAATATTGTCAATTTTCCGAAAAATGTGTCACAACGCTACAGCCGATCTTCAAAATCGCAAAAAATGTATGTATCTAAACAAGCTCTGTAGAGTTCACTTCACTCAATACATTAACTAGTTGTCATTTATTTGGACTTTTTATTCTTTTTTGAAAAACAGTGCGAAATTTTCAAAGAAGAAACCACCGAGTCCCCCTAAAGTTTCTCGCCTAAAATCCTACAAATGTGAACAAAAACCATGTACATACTTCTTCTTAAGTTCTCTTTTAAATAGAGATTTGCGCATTTGGGGGTGAGTTTCGAAATTTGCACTATGAATTTCTTAATTTTGGATGTATTTATGCTGAAAGGAACCAAGTGCATAGGGGTTGTGTGCGACATCAGCACATATTCTTCGGGGGCCCCTACATCACCTCTGAAGCCCCAGTAACTCACTGGGTATGGTTGCGTATTCTAATGCGACTTTAGGGCCCTTTTTAGGTCTCCGCGATCCTAGGCGGATCCAGAGGGAGCGCGTTCGCCGAATTTAGGAGCGAAAAAAAGGGAAGAAAATAAGAAGGAAGGAACGGAGGAAAGAGGAACGAAGAACGCTTATATTTGGCAAGTATACATGACGAAATTGACTCAAACTGCATATTATGTATTAGATTTAAAAAATCGAAAAATTTGGGACCCTTGTCCTCCTCCCTCCACGTTCGAAGTGCTTGGATCCCCCATGTCTTCGACTCATATTTTAAGACCTTTTAGACCTTACTGCGGCTGAAGAGGATTCAAATTTGATAATATTACGGAGAAATATGTTAAAACTTGGAGGGAAAATCGCCGAGAGGGCCCCTCGGGACCCCGCGATGGATTCTCTTGCCAATCCGACCCCGGGTATTAAAGCGTTCCAATGTCGCTAACCTTGCAAACATAAACGATCATCTAAACTAGTTTCACCTCTACTCCCAATAAACTATGAATTCAAGACGAAAATTACCGACGCAAAGTTTACTTTTTGCAAAGAATGTAGGTACCTAAGTTGCACAATCCCAGCAACATTGAAATGCTCTTAGTTTCCTTTTGCAAAATACGATTCAATTGGTTGTTGCTGCAAAGAAATAGTTTCCCACAACCTGCTATACAATGCTCCAGTGACCATGCAAGTTGGCCCGAGCACTATAACTTTTCAGGAAGAAAGCCTTTCCTCTACCTGGTTTCTCACTTAATATCCGTCCGAGTTTCGCATATCCTCCGTTTCTCCTCATCGCAGCTTCCATCAGACCGCAATTGCCCGGAAACTAGGACCGCACATCTTATCTGATAAAATCGTTCGCCCTTTAGATGTGTGATCAATTTTCAAGGACAATTCTGTAAATTCTCCTACGATTTTAAATAGATTAAAACGCGTTATATCCAAAATCTAAGCGCAAATTCGGATTCCTCGTGAAAAACTGATGCGATTTCATGCATCAAATTTTAGAATAGCGTGAAGGAAAGAGGTTTAATGACGTAAAAAAACACTAATGTGTGATTAATTTTCAAGGACAATTCTGTAATTTCTCCTACGATTTTAAATAGATTAAAACGCGTAATATCCAAAATCTAAGCTCAGATTCGGATTTCTCGTGAAAAATTGATGAGATTCCATGTATCATACAGGGTGTCCCAAAAGTCCCTTCCACCCCCTCTAAAATTTTACCTAATTAATATTTTGAAACGAAACTTTGGGTATGTTCATCGATCAATGTTAGCTACTTTTGCGGCCCCCCAAAATTTTCGGGCCCCCCCGTGGGGAGGGGCTGCGGACCCCAACTTTTTTTTTTCAAATGGCAACCCCTATCTTGTGATACCTCATTCGAAAGAACATAAAAAACTAAGAATTTTGGCGCAAACTGCAGATCAATATCTTAATTTTTGACGAGAATTATCTTAATTTTTACTTCAAACTAATTTTAAGGGGGGTTTCGGACCCCCAAATACGTCAATTCAAAGGTCATTCAATTTTCCCGCGAAATAAGCCAATTTCCCCCAGATTTACCTCGACATTAGTTCAGTAAGGTCAAAATCAGTTCAACATTACGTTGGCAACTCCCCAAATTTCGGGAAAAGTTAAAAAAAAAATTTAAACGATCAAATTTAATCACCTTTAATTTTGTTTTTTTTTTAACTTTTCCCGAAATTTGGGGAGTTGCCAACGTAATGTTGAACTGATTTTGACCTTACTGAACTAATGTCGAGGTAAATCTGGGGGAAATTGGCTTATTTCGCGGGAAAATTGAATGACCTTTGAATTGACGTATTTGGGGGTTCGAAACCCCCCTTAAAATTAGTTTGAAGTAATTTCTGTAATTTTTACTTAAAAGTGCTTACAATTTGGTAAATTTTCCCGTTTTATTTTTTTCATTACGATAATTTGAACCGGAGTTATGATTTTTTGAAAATAGGTCAAATTTGACCTTTGACNGATAAACATCATCAAAATTTCTAATAATGCCTGGTGCGGTCCGTTTCATGAGCCAGGCGGCTCTCAATTTTTGGCACATAGAGAGAGGTCTATAATCAGGACCCATCCAGAAGCTCAGACATTGATTAGACGTTTGCAAAACTATTTATACTAACCTGACTTGACTCAGCTAAAGCTGGTTCAATAAAACAGCACACCTTAACAAATCACAGTGAAAACAGGCACAATGGATTTGCAGAATTTCACATCTGTCCAGACTCTTGCTGAACAGGTATGCTGCTTTGTAGTACAGGAATGCTTTTAAGACAAAAAGTGGAGTATACGTAATTACACATTTCTTTCTACTGCTTACGTTGCACTACTATTTAGTAGTTACAGCGCAAACACCAAGTGTGTTCTAAGCAATGAGTTTATAATTTCTCAAGATTTGCACCCTGTTCTGTTAGGAAACATGGACAAGAAAACTCACCGATAAGTCAGGAAAGGATATTCAATCAGCTGAAAACATGGAAATTTAACGTAACTCACAGTTCTGTAAAATATTTGAAGATTTCAACGCAATATTGATATTACTGGTTGTAACAGTATGCACGTGTATATTTATGACAACAGAGAAACATAACCTAACCTGGTCAATTGTTACAATGTTGCACGATGAGCACGGAAAACTTAATATAATCTGTATCAAGTTTATATGATGCGGTTGGCGCGGCAACTCCTCTCTTGCTTTTAGCAGTGGGGAAAAAGTCGTCCATGATTGGTTGACGGTTTCCCCCTGGTTTCTCCCGATTTCAAAAAAGTTTTTCAACGTGAAATAAACAATTCTCCCCTCTGAACTCAAGATTGATGTATGATGGGACTTACTAAATTGATTAGTATTGGTTAAGTACATACATACTCGTAGACAAATAAAATGCTGAATTTTAATTCATCTTTAAAATACCCAGGCCCGGACTAAAGGCGTGTGCAGGGCGTGCGGCGCACACGGCACTGTGGGCCAGGGAGGCCCGTTTTACGCGAAAAATACCGTCTTTGAGAGTGTCCAGTATTGTATTGATGATGAGGAATTCGTTAAAGTGCCTCTCTAAGGGATGAGGATTCATCAAAATTTCATCGAATAATCGCCCAGCAGCGATGTATAGGAGGGGGGAACTTGGGTACCTCTCACACTGCGCGTATAATGTATAGAAGCGCGTCCTGAACGCAACCGTGTATAGGCCTTATCACGGCTCAGCGATTGCGCGGAATGAGACTTTGTTCACGAGGACTTCTTCTCCTAAGAAAGAGCTTTCATTTGATGTATGCACTTTTTCCATTGCACTGAAAAAAACACTCCGGCCGTGGAAGCCGTACTTACGGGCTATATAGAGCTACCGTCCGTGTTCCGGGCTCAGAGGCCGAAAGTTCCAGACGTAACACCCGGAGCAGTCGAAGTGCTCCGGGTGCTACGCCCGGAACTTTCGGCCTCTGAGCCCGGAACACGGACGGTAGCTCTATATAGCCCGTAAGTACGGCTTCCACGGCCGGAGTGTTTTTTTCAGTGCAATGGAAAAAGTGCATACATCAAATGAAAGCTCTTTCTTAGGAGAAGAAGTCCTCGTGAACAAAGTCTCATTCCGCGCAATCGCTGAGCCGTGATAAGGCCTATACACGGTTGCGTTCAGGACGCGCTTCTATACATTATACGCGCAGTGTGAGAGGTACCCAAGTTCCCCCCTCCTATACATCGCTGCTGGGCGATTATTCGATGAAATTTTGATGAATCCTCATCCCTTAGAGAGGCACTTTAACGAATTCCTCATCATCAATACAATACTGGACACTCTCAAAGACGGTATTTTTCGCGTAAAACGGGCCTCCCTGGCCCACAGTGCCGTGTGCGCCGCACGCCCTGCACACGCCTTTAGTCCGGGCCTGGGTATTTTAAAGATGAATTAAAATTCAGCATTTTATTTGTCTACGAGTATGTATGTACTTAACCAATACTAATCAATTTAGTAAGTCCCATCATACATCAATCTTGAGTTCAGAGGGGAGAATTGTTTATTTCACGTTGAAAAACTTTTTTGAAATCGGGAGAAACCAGGGGGAAACCGTCAACCAATCATGGACGACTTTTTCCCCACTGCTAAAAGCAAGAGAGGAGTTGCCGCGCCAACCGCATCATATAAACTTGATACAGATTATATTAAGTTTTCCGTGCTCATCGTGCAACATTGTAACAATTGACCAGGTTAGGTTATGTTTCTCTGTTGTCATAAATATACACGTGCATACTGTTACAACCAGTAATATCAATATTGCGTTGAAATCTTCAAATATTTTACAGAACTGTGAGTTACGTTAAATTTCCATGTTTTCAGCTGATTGAATATCCTTTCCTGACTTATCGGTGAGTTTTCTTGTCCATGTTTCCTAACAGAACAGGGTGCAAATCTTGAGAAATTATAAACTCATTGCTTAGAACACACTTGGTGTTTGCGCTGTAACTACTAAATAGTAGTGCAACGTAAGCAGTAGAAAGAAATGTGTAATTACGTATACTCCACTTTTTGTCTTAAAAGCATTCCTGTACTACAAAGCAGCATACCTGTTCAGCGAGAGTCTGGACAGATGTGAAATTCTGCAAATCCATTGTGCCTGTTTTCACTATGATTTGTTAAGGTGTGCTGTTTTATTGAACCAGCTTTAGCTGAGTCAAATCAGGTTAGTATAAATAGTTTTGCAAACGTCTAATCAATGTCTGAGCTTCTGGATGGGTCCTGATTATAGACCTCTCTCTATGTGCCAAAAATTGAGAGCCGCCTGGCTCATGAAACGGACCGCACCAGGCATTATTAGAAATTTTGATGATGTTTATCAAACAATATCCAGATTCAATGCAAAACTTTTACAATGTTACTACCACCGTCTAACTTGAATGGAGTCTAACCTACATCATGGGATGTGCGCCGCTAGAGGAGATGGATTCTAAAAATCCACCACTAACGCCAAAGATACAGACCTATTTTGCAAGTTTTTCAAAGCACAGGGCACTGCTTACTAATGCGATCAAAACCTAATTCACATCAGGAAGCGTATATCCTGACAGAGATGTTGCGTCACTTTGGAGTGTGCTTATTTTTCTATGGAATGCATTTTTTTAGTTCTACAAGTGAAATCACATTCCTCGTCATCAAACAGCACCTAAAAACAAAATCTAATGGACTTCCCTTTATTTTTGCTGAAACTGCTTAAAATAGGAAATTGATAATATTTGTTCAAGTCCTATTACTGTTTGAAGAAACAAATTTTATTTCTAAAAATTGTCAGTAAGTACTTCTTGAATTGGTGCTAAAGATAAATTAGACCTTTATGTCAGAGTTCAAACCCGTGGTTCTATTTTTCATGTTTTTACTCTGTGCTTCTCATGTTTGTTGATTTAATCATGAAACTCTAATCACCATCATTCCTTGATCGGTTTCGCTCCTCCTCGGTTATCCTTTGTATTTGTCCTTGGCACATTGAAGTCATATTTCAAGTTGATCGAAAATCACCTATATGTTTCAGCAATTCATTGTATTAATATTTATACACGATGGATGATGCTATGGATGGATCGAGTGTCAAAAGGAAGAGCGTCAAGGAGTTGACAAAAAAAGGTGGCAAAAGGGATGGAACAGCCAAGCGAGCAAAGTAAGTGCCATCATCATCATCATGTGTGTTTTTATAATAATTACCTGTACATAATGGATGAAGGATAAAACCCAAAAATGAGAAAGCTTTACCCCTGGCTTAAATGGTAAATTCTGCATCAATAGTAAAAATTATAAACATTCAGAAAGCATTGTTGAGTTTAAGATCAAAGAATTGCAATTCCAAAGAAAATTCAAGCAGAGGTTTGAGATGATTCCAATAAGAAATTTCAAGTAGGTAATCTAGGTGTGTCAAACAGATGTGATTTTTCTTCCAGGTAGGTATCTAAAATACTGAGGCTATACAAAAAAAGTTGAAGTTAAATAACAGATTAAGCCAGAACTAGAATTAAAGCTATTGAAATGAAAGCAGTGGGAAATTCATTTTATAATTAAAAATGCTAAATTTTCAAAATGATTCAATCGTTAAAGAAGAAACAAATCCATCAAATGGCTCAAATACTGAGAATGACAAGCTGGTAGAATAGAAATGGGTCTTCACTATGCAAGGGGAAAAACCAAGCCAAAAAATGGTGTATTTTCTTCAAAAAATACACTTGAATATCAAAACTAAAATCAGAGATACAAGAAAATGTTCTATTATGTATTTGTGCAAAACTGAGGGAAGGAGAGCGTTTAGCTGAGGGAGATGTATTAAAAAATTTAGTTAAATAGGAAGCAAAATATTTTCAATTCACCTGTTTTGCCGCCCCCTCTCCCCCATTTTCGATTACTAGGTAAACTGTGAACACTGATTCCAGAAGTTTCATGTTTAATCTATTTTACTTAAAACTTTGATGATACAACATGTCTTCCAAGACTTTAGCTCTTAGTTCTTTGGTATATAGTTCTTAGCACTTCAATTCTTTAGTGCCTTCATTATTTAGCATTTAATTCTTACAAATAGTACTTAGTTTTAGTTATAAATCTTTATTTCTTTTTCATAGGAAAAGCTTGGCGGTTGAATCACCAAAAAAATCTCACTCTAAAGTGGAGAAAAAGAAGCATAAATTAGAAAAGAAAACAAAGAAGGATTTGAAGAAAATAACGAAAGAACTAGGAAAATTGTAAGTAACATAGTTGTTTTCTTTACTTTGTATATCTTGTGTGTCAAATTAATTTCTGTAAACAAAATTAAATATAAAGTGAACTTTATCAAATCCTTATATCCGAAATTGACACAAATCAAAATTTGATACACCAGGAAATTAAGAAAATCTAGAAATTCACATTCCTTTGACTGCATGATGGAGCTCTCATGCATCTGATTTTGACATCGAAAAGAGTATTTTTATTAAAGCTTTATGAAATTTTGCAATGTCCACAAGAATTTTTTCTTCAAGAGAAATAGGATCCCTTTGATTTGGCAAAAGTCCTTCTCCTCTCCCTCTCCTCTTCTCACCCTCGTTTAAGATAATCATGTTCACGTCTGATATAATCCTTTTAATTTATATAGGAATGCAGATGAGACAGGGAAAGGCAAAGCAAAAAAAGCAAAAAAGCAGCGAGACTCAGGAGAGACTGATGCTCAAAAAAATGTCAACTTGGAAAGGTTGAATGATGCTTGGGGAAGAGCCATGAAAGACGTTGCGGAGCAGACAACCTCGGAATTCCAGAAAGAATTACTAGGAAAATGTGAAGGTCAAGTTGTACCTCGCGACCATAAAAGCAAATTTATGGTAAGTCCAATTGAAATCAAAGTTTTTTGACTCTGTAGATAATAACAACAGTAAAAAGAAGTCCCTGAAGTGCATAATCGCTCAAGTGATTCTGGATTCTAAGTAAAAAATTTTCTCTCCATTCCTCTTTTCTAGGGCTTAAATGATAATAATTGCCAATGAACCAAAAAATCTGACAAAGGAAAACAAAAAATAATACAGTGAATCAATTATACTTTCAGTTATGTTTTTAGAGCTCCTAATTTTTAGATTCTTGTTTTAATAGATTCCAGTATCACTACAACTTGCCTTTAGAGTTCAATCACTACTGAAGAGTTTGTCAGTCACATCTATCAAAACTCTCTACTCCAAGGGTTAAGATGAATGAAGTCAGTCACAACAATCTTGCCAATTTCTTAACAATTCTATCTGCTGTTTATACTATTAGTCTTCCTTCAGTTGTCTCTGAATGATGCAATCAAAATCTGAAGACAAACTTCATCAAACTGTGCCCTTGTGCACTGAAGTGGACAAGTAACATTTTAAGATAAAAAAAAACTTCTAAACTTTAAAACTAAACAGAGGGTATGGATTCGATCACAAAAGGTTGATTCACTTCAGTGTTTAAACTTATGGTCTTAATTAGTTTAGATTTTAGATAATGAAGAAAAAGTCATAACTTTGAAAAATTTGGGGGGAAAAGCAGTCTCAAAAATAGGAAGGCTAATTGAAACAGTAAGATTTAAAGCACACTAGCTCAAAAAAATGAAAATCATCAGGAGAAGAAAATTGCACTGTAAGTGAAGAAGTTAGATGAGAAAAAGCTTTCTGGTGCTAAAGAACAAGTTCTGTCCTTGTACAAATAGCCACTTCTACTAACTCATCCATTTACTGTGCAGTTTTTAGTTTCTCATGAAAATTTTCATTTTCCTGAGTTGGTGTGTTTTCATGATTCACTGATTCAACCAAAAAAAAATGAGAAAGCTTTGAACTTTCTGCATTCCTGTAAGAGAATCTAGATTAGCATATTTGACAGAATTTTTGCCAAGAGTGAAAATTGCCAGATGCCTTCCTTTTTTCTCCTCTTTTCTAAAAATCTCCTGAGGGCACAGCATTCAGCATATCGACGGTGAAACTACCAAACCACGTATCTCGTTTGCGGTGTTTAAAAATCTACGCTCACATTTTATTTTTTTGAAGTAGACCAAATCAATATCATTCCTTGAAATTTTCACAGAATTTTCTCCGCACGAAGAGGAAAAATCATAGAAATTTTCAAGACTGGACGTTAAGTAAGTTTTTCATTTAAAAAATAAAGTATGACAGGAAGTCTGCGACGTCGCAAACCGAGATACGTGGTTTGGTAGTTTCACCATCGATATACCTTTATACCATTCACTCTCCAAAATGTTGTGAAACTTCATTTTATTACTACCCTAAATAACTGATCTCTCTGTCTGCTTCATAGGACTGGATTGAAGAGCATCTTCACTACAGCAAAACAGAACACTATAGTAAGCTGAGGACTATTTGGAGGGCTGTCAAAAAAGTATATGACCAACATAAACCGATGACAAAAACACAAAAACGAAAAATGGAGAAAAAGCGAAAGCAAGCTCGGAAGCAGCTTTCGGCCCAGGCGTTTAAAGCTGAGAATCCACTAGATGAAGAAACACTCAAAAAGAAGAGAGAAAAAGCTAAGATAAGGCAGGCAAAACTGAAGAAAAAGAAATTGGACAATTTATTAAAAAAGAAAAGTGGAATGCGACTAAAAAATAGTGCACCACTAAGCGAGGAGCAGAAAGATGTTGTGATGAAGGAATTGAAAAAAAAGAGTAAAGATAAGAAGAAAAGTAAGCTTTTAGGTATTTAAGTATGCAATACATTCGTCACCTAACTGATCAAGGACGGGACTCAATTTGGGGTATGTTTTCGGAAACACTTGTAAAAATTATACCTCTCATTGAACTTGCAATTTTTCCTGTGGGTAGGAATGGTTCCATGCATTTTTAAAAGTGAATGGTTAACTGAAAATACTTCCAATTTTTCTTTTTCTTCTGTAATGAAAACATTTTACTGTTTATCTGTCTAGAATTTTTCATAAAAAAACAAAGGAAATATTCTTTTTTTTATATCAATAACTTTTCATTCATAATTATTTTACTAGTAAAAATTATGTTATGAAAGATTATAATAATTTGTATAACTTTTTCAAGCGTCTTCTTTTGAGTCATAAACTGTTGCAGATCTTTCAAATGTCCAATTTTCTCAATGTTTCAACATTAATGACCATAAAGTTTTACTGTAGATGTGACAGCATTGTCAAGTTATTTTTATCATATGCTTCATTGAGATAATGGTTCAAACTAGTTTTGTAAAACTATGGTCAAATTCAAATAAAATTCTTAAAAAAAAAATACAACGGAAGACTTCGTTCTTCTCTTTTTGTAGAAGTGGAGATTAATCTAAGCAAAAGTGGCCGAACATAAAGGAGAAGTCAACCCCTAATGTAAGATAAGGTGGTGTATTTCTACCTGAAGAAAATCTCCGAGCTCAAGAATGTTAAATAATATCGTCAAAATCGAGCCCAAAATTAATTCTAATCTTAGTCTTAATAAGCAGAAATGTTTCATTCCTCCCATTTTTGCTCAAGTTTTGACAAAAGATATTTTTTTTAGCTGCTGAAGGCACAAAAAGCAAGCACTGATTTGCTTTTTATTATTGATGGCCGAGAATTTTATGGCAGTGAAAAATACAAAATTATGAAAATAAAATGTACTCAATTTTTACAGACTCACATTTCGTGAAGCTTATCAAACTGAACTCTACTAGGTTCACAGACAGATACGGCAGGAAATGGGATGTAAGCATGTGGATACATTATTGTGCTGATTGTTGTTTTTGTCAGGCCAAGAATATATTGTTGATAAACGTCCAAGATTGATTTGGCTCCACCAATTGTGGCTCCAATGACAAGAACCGCCCACAAAAGCCTTGAGCAAAGAAAAAATACTGATTTCAAGAGAAACTCAAGCCAAAGTGAAATGAATGAATATAGTAATAGCACCATCACAAATCCGAACAAAATCAAACCGTTAACAGATCATGAAAATTCGAAGCTGGAAATTTCCCTCTCCCCAATTATTCATTGTTTACTGCTTTTCCACAAAAATGATTTTGAACAAGTTTTTAAAACAGTCATGTTCATTCCCTCCACCTGCTCTCACTGTCTTGATAAAAGTGAGCAAAATAAGTTTCCTGAACAAGGTGGTAGGAAATAGCTGGATTCACTTCATTTTCTGAGAGGAAATCAAAGCCTGAAAGAACACTCACTTTCTCAGTTTTTCACTGGAATTCATTAGAATTTATTGTAACCCTATTTCTAATTTTTAGTTTATTTTTAGTTTTGATTTCCTATCAGAACAGTCACCATATTATTCTTTACAGTCTTTGGGCTGCAGTTTTAGTAGTTTTTTTTTTTTTATCTAAGTCTACTTATGCAGTTATCTACATTGTAGCATAAAAGCTCAGCTATGTCAGACTGTCATTACTGCCTCTTATCATTGAAGAATTCCAATAGATATTTTCCTTTAATGTGGTCAATTTGCAATGCAGTCCCGCTAAGAACCCATCAGAGGGTATATTGTCTCTTATAGAAGCGTGTTGATATCAATTTCATATAGTTTTGTCTCAAACCTATCGAATGGGGGATTTTCCGCAGATGCAGCATGATGGACTCCATGAACTGCTTTTAGCTCTCCAAACTCCTCCAAGCATTTCTGGCATTTTAGTCTTTTTTTATTTCTTCTTTGCATTCAAATCGATATTTGCTCTTCACTGCCAAGTATTTTTTGCAGCAATCTGTTGAAAAAAGACAACTTTGAAATCTTTCAACCCAGAATCTATTTGACATAAAGTAGGCGAGAATAGTGTTAGAGCTCAATAATTATTATATTGGAAGGAATGTAAATAATAACTAAGTACAACATTACATCCTGTGTTCCTCTCTTTCTGTGCATAGAAATGAGCAAATTATTTTTTGTTTAATTTGTTTTAAAAAGAAGCCTACCTATTCTGTTAAAAAAGGAAGGGAAAAAAGGCAATATTTCGCTCCTCATTAAGTTTACTCACTGGACATGAAATCAATTCAACAATAGCACTTAAGCTTATGACGGCATGCATTGTATTACATTTGTCAGAGGTAGCAATACTAAGAACAAAGTTGCTCAGAAAACGATCTGGTTGCACGAAGGAGGAACCCTAGTAGCCAAAATATAATGTGCAATACCTACCCTGGTAAAAATTGGCAGTAGAGTCTGTGTTCCAAATTACCATAGACCTACAGCCGACTGTAAGATTTCCAATAGCTTCTATAGCCGGCAACACAATTTCTTATATCCTTTTATAGCCGATGGCGATTAAGCAACAGCCTGACGATAAAGTGTATGCTATCCGTTACTAATTACGGATGCTAGGACTTAGCGAGTTTTTGGACTACCGCTCTCCATTTGGTCCGTAGTATCTTGATTTATTTTGCGAGGGAAGCTCCGTACTTTTGAAGGATGCCTGCCATTCCTAATATGTTGGAGCGCCTTCAATTTCGTACGATACTGTGCAATACCTCTGGTGTGAAATAGTTGCTTCAAGCGCCGTGGTACGCGGCGCAGCGCGGCGGGCGGGCAGCCAGCGCGAACCGCGCATTGGCGCCTACAAACCTAACAGGGATACTTCACGCATTGCACAGTGCGTGAAGTATCCCTGTTAGGTTTGTAGACGCCAGTGCACCGCGCGCCGCTCCGCTTTGTGTTAGGCTCTAATTTTTTAATCTCGTGGAGTCAGCGTTGTTCAACTCATGACTTTGAAATGTTTGCACACTCTGTATGGATTATTCTCATTTTAATTGATGAAAACAAATATGTAGTAAAGGAAAATATAATGTGCGTTTTGTAAATATTACCTATGGTGATTCCGTACAAACTTGCGGATTTACAAAGCACACGAATTTCTACACAATTTCCTATAGCCTTTTATAGCCGATGGCGAAAAAGCAACAGCCAGGCGATAAAGTGTAAAGCCCGGCGACAGGAACTATAGCCCGGGCGTTTAATTTTTTATCGCTTCGTGTAGGTGTAGCCCGGCCGTATGATTTTTTCCACTTTCTACAGCCAGCTATATGATTTTCTATCGCCTTCCTCAGTCGGCTATAAGAGCTCCTACGGTATTTTGAAACGCAGCTCCTATCGCCAATTTTTACCATGGTATCGATTCTTTATGTACAGAAATAGTACCTAATGTAATGTTCATGAAATGGGGTATTAATTAGCCAAGAATAGGTACTGAATATCCAATAAAAATATTCCATTCTCTGAGTGTTGTGTGTTAGCCTAGCTCCTATTTGAAGGGGCTCCGCGTTTATTGAAACTTACTGCAATAAAATTAAAATAAGTCGCAATTTTTCATAGCAAATTGCCTATCTTTTTCTGACACATGCAGCTCGTTATTGATTATTTAAAATTGGCATAAATCGACTATATGATGTAAAAATATTGCAATTTGATGGAAAAAAATTACAATTTTATTGAAATCAAATTGCAATTTAATTTCAATATTTTCATTGCATCGTGCTACTTGGGTGAATATATTTAATGACCGAAAATGGACCACTAGACAAGGTGCAAATTTCAACATTTTGATACATGATTCTTCACCAAAATTTCACGCAAAACACGATGCGAACAACGAAAATTACCGGAATCACATCCTTACGAAGATATTCAATAATTCTTGATGCGTGAATTCAAACCACCCGCTCATGAAAACTCAATGCTCTACGTGATTCACATCGCGCGCTAAACGTTTATCATGACAGTCTCTGAGATATAAAAATCTGGCAACCTTAATCTTGACGCTTTGACTCAGCTGTAGCAAATTGCTTATAGTTTGAACAATACATGGTGGGAAATGAACATTGCTCGATTGAGAAGATTGCTGAAACCGTTGTAGTGCGCGATTTGACTCACGTAGAGCTTTGAGTTTCCTGTGAGCGGGCAGTTCAAATTCCTCGTAACCAATGTGAAATAAAAACGTTAATATCTTCGTTAGGAGTTAGTCTCAGTAATTTTCGTTGTCCAAATCGTGTTCTCCGCAAAAATTTGGTTAAGAAACATGTATCAAAGTGCTTAAATTCGTACCTTGTTTAGTAGTCCATTGTGACCTGGCAAATGGAGACGCGTGGTAAAACCGTAAAAGGCCGTGCAGAGTTTAGTGAAAAGTTAGAGAGAGAGAGAGAGAGAGGGGGGGGGGAGAGAAGAAAATTTGAAAAAGTAGAATTGAAGAGAGAGAAACTTCTGACACACCCCCTGCCCGCATCCGCAAAAAAAAGAAAAAAAAATTATGCTCCTTATCAGTCGGTTAACCGAAGTATGCACTTACTTATCAAGCAGTGTCCTCGGAGAAAAAGCTCTCTGAAGTAGACAATTAACTCGCAATCTTACCTACCTGTCTTACGCGACCTTTTCTAGCAATATCATCCGAGCGACCAGCGAGTAACTGAGCTATAACTGAACGGCCTACGACGTCAAGGGATCGTCCCTTTCCTCTCTCACCATCGGCGGTCCCTTCTTAGGCTTTTCATAAATAAATAATTTCAAGCCTCGGGAAATGTCAGTTACATGTGAATGACGAGAGTTGATCGGCTCGAAATTGCAATATTATACCCTTTAAATGGATCCATTGTAAGCTTTCGTCGCCTTTATGCTCGGTACTCAGTCGTCGGTACCTAATGTAGTATTTTCCATACTGCCGTGCTGAGGAAAAACGCCGTATAAACATTCGAGAGTTGCCTTTCCTCTCAGAAAATAGTTATTTTTGAAAGAAGTATGAATATTTTTCCTTGAAATTTTCAGGATTTTTAGGTGAAATTGCGAACAAATTTATCTGAAAAATTGGAGGAAAAATATTAACAAATTATCCAGAAAATTCGTGATTAACCAAAAGAAATTTGGCAACGCCTAAAGGTTCATACGGCGTTCTTCCTTAGCACGGCAGCATAGGACTCCACTAACTCGAAAGTCAATGAAGGGGCGCGACGTGTCATAGCTGCTATGCCGCGCTAAGGAAAAACGCCTATGAACCCTCAGACGTTGCCAAATTTCCAAAATAAAAAGAGAATTCACAGGGAAAATTGTGAATATTCTTTTCTAACATTTTCAGAAAGTTTCATCAGTAATTTAATCCAAAATATCTGAAAATTTCAAAGAAAAATGTGCATTAATGTCGTCATAAAAACATGTTTTATCAAGGGAAATTTGGCAACTCTCGAGTGTTCATGCGGCGTTCTTCCTTAGCCCGGCAGTACTGCCGTGTTAGGAAAGAACGCCGTGTAAACATTCGAATGTTACAAAATTACCTCTCGGCAAATATTTACCTATTTTTGAATAAAATGTTGAGTATTTTTTCTTGAAAAGAGACACTTTAAATTAAATTACGAAATAGGTACAATCTTTGAAGAATCGGAGGCAAAATACTTAGAAATTTTCCCGAAAATGCGGGGTTTGTAAAAAGAAATTTGGCGACTTCTGAATTCTTCCTCAGCACGGTGCATACAGCAGGGCACAGCTGAGATTTTACAACTGGAGAAAGCTAGTCACGTTAGACTTTTACCTACCTGACGTCGGATGAGGTATTACCTCGTAGCCCCTTGATATCAGATAACTAATTAGATAGGTTCATTGGAGAGCAATTGGTTTTGATGATGTTTCAGAATCTGAATTATCTATATCTGTCAAAAAAGCACTAAAAATGTTCAGCCCCGAGCAGAGGCGGAAAAGTGCAGGGGACTTCATGAGTGGGTACTTGAAATTAATTTTTTTAAATTTTTGAAAAATTCTATCATGAACTTGGTATGCCATGAAACGGTCATAGATGCCGAAAACTCTTCATTTTTCATTTTTTTTTTTAAAGAAAGAAAAAAAAAAGTCAAATTTTGAAATATCTTTCAGAATTCTCGGATAAATGTTATAGGTAGCCTACAAATCGTTGAAATTTCTTGAAAAATGACATTTCACTTGACAGTAAAATGAGACTTTTGCATCTCCGGCCTTGAGACTCCAAGTCTATTCTTCTAAGATTTCCATTCACATGGAATGAGGGATAGGTTTACAGATAAAACATATTATTAATATTTTGACTTCATTTTTTAATAGGTATGTCATTCCAGAACTTGACTTCGTACATACATTCATAATTTAACAACATTTCGCTTTACAAGAAATATAAATACACGGTTACAAAGTACCTTAATTAATTAACCTTTTATAAGTAGATAACAAGAGTACTTTCTCTACATTTATACAAAGGAGTTTCTGATAAATAAGAAACTCATTACTTTCCAAAGACATTCTTATTATTATGAAACGTAAAAAAATAAAGCAGAAACATATTTGATTTCAGATTTATAAGAAAGACACCAAAGAAAGAAGTACTTAAAATACTAAAACAGTGAAAAGTCTTCTAAATCTTTCAATAAAATGCAACAAAAGTATTTGAAAACATTTGAGAACAAAAATATGTCACACAAAGAACTATTAATAATCTTATTAGGCTGAGTTTCCTGCTTATAAACCAAAGAGAAAATAGTGAGTAACTTTCAACGATTTTAGCAGATTTTTTAAGATAATTCTATTAAACTGGTCTTTTCAAACAGAATTTTCCTTATATTACCTTATATTATCTCTTTCACTGAAGCCAACAATTAAGAAGCAAGTAGGTATATGTAACTATTGAGTTTGATTGGAAAATAGTTTTTTTGTTCACCATGCTCCTATCTTTCTGAAAAGATAAGTAAAACAAAAAATAAGTTCACTGGACTGCTGAAAAGGTTGGTTTTACTAGACTTCCTTTCTCTCCTTTCAGCCAAATACCCAAATTTGGATATAAACCTCATTCCATTCCAACAATACAAAATAAGGACTCATAGCTTATTAGATTATTTAGTGATTTTTGGGGATTGATTACAAATTTTCATTTTCCTCACTTAGAGGGAGGAACCTTTAAAAAGTTTATAAAAAAATATAAGAATAAGAATAAGAATTTAAACATAATAGCCCCTTTTGGTGAATAAACGCACAAAAAATCAAACTTCAGTTGCACAATTTTGCAAGCAAACAGAGAGCTTAAGTTCGATGCACAAAATTACAAAGAAAGTCACGTCCTTATACTGGAAATAAATTCATCCACTTATTTTTTCCTTTAGAATTAGATTGCCTGAATATAATAAGTCTTCAAAAAGTATTTTCTCTTCCTCCAATTTAGCATCTGCTGAACACATCTTTTGAACTTTTGATGTAGTATTTAGCTCATAAGATCATCCATATCTATCTCAGAATGATGGAGACTTCTCTCTGTGTCCGAGGCACTATCTGTGTCCGAATCGTGAAACGAATCTGGCACTCTCTGACTAACGTCTTCTGTCAAGTTTGAAGAAGATGAAGTATTTGATACATTTGGTACAATTGTTACAGGATCAGAATTCTTAGATTCCTCAGACAACACTTCTGATTTTTCGATTTTAGATACAGGGCTGCTTCCGACAATCTCTGAAATAATTGAGGATTTCAGGTTTTTTTCTGCTGTCACATTGAGACTGTCAGCATCTGTTGAAGTTTTGACTGATGAGAAAAGTGCACATGGTGTCTGCTCTGAAACTACTGTAGGTTCATTCTGAGAAATTACTTTTACAGGAGTTGGTACAATGCTTGTGACTATTCCAGCCGGATTTTTTGAATCACCGACACTAGAAGTTTCGGACTGTTGGAGAATTGTGAACAAGATTGGTTGAGGATTTTGGATTGGCGTTTGCTCTTTAGATTCCGCAGAATCCGGGTTTTGTAAAATTTGGAGCAGAATAGGTTTTTGTATTGGCACTGTTTCTGGTAAAGTTCCTGGGTCTGGCTTTGGTAGAATTTTTAACAGCAATGGTTTAGAAGCCTGTGATGTTGACGAACTTTTGACATTTTGTGCTCTTATTGGTCCATTTTTAGGAACCGTGACTTTTTGCATTGGACGTTGAATAAAAACTCGTTTAGGGGCAGAAGTTCCTATATTAACAAGTGCAGTTTTTTTGGCTGATCCTGCAGCAGTTTTTGTTGTCTGGCTGCTGTTCGCTTTTAAAACTGATATCGGGTTTACTCTGTTGAAGACCCGAGTATCAATTTTAAGAGGTATATAATTTTTTGACGAATGTGTGATGTTTTTATGAGGCATTTTTTGTTGACCAATCAATAATTTTTTGGTTGATGGCATGAGAGGCACTGGTAACTTTTTTGCATAGCTGTGATTTAATTTGATAAATTCAACCATATTTGAGACTTTTGGACTGGGGTTAAGGTCCATTGAGTCATCGATATCTATTTCGGGTTGAAAAACATGCCCGACATCCTCATGTGTTGAGGTTGGAGGTTCTTTCTTGTTAATGGTTTTCGAAACTTTCTTAGGACTTTTAATCAATTTTTGCTTACTCTCACATGTTGGAGTTTGCTCATCGATCATTTCTGGTTCATCCATTCTTCTGATTAATGGCTCAACCGACTCAATTACAGGTTCAGAATTTTCAAGCTTTTCAGTGCCTTTGTGGCTTGAGGGTCTGAACTGTTTTAAGAGCTTTGATGATTGAGTCTGTTTCAAGACATGGGCGATTTGTTGATCAATTCTTTCTGGTGTGATGTCTGTCATTTTCCTTAGCAAGGTGAGGCTAGGTTCAATACAATTCAACAGTTTATCAACAAACAGTACATCAGCATGAGTTTTGACATTCGTCGTCACAATTTTATTGAACTGTTGAATAAGTTTTTGTTGCGGTGTGCTTTCCAGAGCCTTTGCAAAATTTTCAGCCTCATTTTCTGCCATCTTCAACTCGAGCATATTCACAGGATCTACCTCTCCTTCTTCAATTTCCATTGCCATTGTGGTATCCGCATCTGCTTGGTTATCAGTCTCAGATGACTGGCTCTCAGCCTGGCTTTCCATCCTTGGTTCATTGTCCTTGTCCACTGTTTGTTCTGCAATCACTGCTCGACAAACCAAATGAATATGTTCACACATTTGACCATGATGGTTGTATTCCCAACAGTTGCATGAATACTCATGATAACAGGATTTACAGACAGTGCATGGTAATGAGCATTCCTTACAACACTCACCGATTTTTTTTACATGAAATGTCCCTGGTTTCACATTATGCTGATTTTCTGACAAGGTAACATTCCACTCTTCCCCGTCCTTGCTTACAGCAGAGATATCGGTTCTAAAACAATTGCGATGATGAAGCATCAATGCATGGAGTTTTGAGAGTATTTTGGTTTGACTCATTTTTACAAGCATATTGGTCAACTTTGAGCCCATTAGCCGAAGAATTGCAATGAGTGTTTTGTCAAGCATGGCAGCTTTTGTCCCGAACAGACGGCAGAGTTTCAGAATGTGTCTGTAAGAATCAACCTGCATATGACAGTTGAATTGACTGTTTATTCGGTAACAGTATGCCCAAGATTCAACATTAAATTTCTTACAATATTGGTCAAAGAAAAAATTTGCAAATTCAATCAACTCTGGGTCATTGTTGCAAGTGACATACATTTCTTCCAAGAGAGAATTAAAACTTTCTTCGCTCTCCGTGTACAGCAGGTTTTCAAGGGTTTTGAAAAACGCACGACGCTTTTCCTGTGATTTTACACATTCAGCTAGCTTGCCGCGCCAGCTTTCTGTGACACGCCAGGGACACAACAACAATTTTTTGGGAGCAACACCCATCACACTGCACCAAGCATCATAATACCAGGCAGTAAAATCAGTCAAGAAAACATTGGGTGCAAGAACACCCATGCAGTCTCTGATTTTTTGGAAGAAAAATTTGAAGACATAGCTATCATTACGATTACTGAAAAGAAAAACACAAGGGAAGCCGGTGTAAGTCTCATCTGAGACTAGCAGCGTGTACATTTGAATGGAGTGGTTATTGACATTGTTAGTCCCATCAAAACAAATTATGTCATTACCGTGTTTAACAAAGGTTTCTTTCTGATAGCTTGACATGAAGAAGAGAACAAAGTCTTCAATATGGAATTGGGACAATTCATCAGGGACTCCAGGTTCTTTAAAATAGATCAATGGATACTCTCCTGTACTCCACCTTTCTTTAACCCATGCTGCGATGGCATCTTGGTCATACTTCTTTGACTCAAGGCAAACATTGATTTCTTTCCTTGCAGCTTTAAGCTCTTCTTGTGCAGCTGTTACTGGCTGCACAAGATCATCAAAATAGACTGGACCTCGAACATCATGCCATACAACATTACCTGGTGTTTTCGAAGCAAGGTTATTTGCGAGCTTCAGTCGCTCAGCTTCTGTGAGATACACTGACTTGAAATCTTTCTCATGACCGACGTGAGTTTTCATGTAATGGACAATTACTGAGTCATCCGGGTTTCTTGTTGCGCGAATATTTGCTGGGCAAAAACCATTGATTTTTATACTGGAGAAATTTGTATGACATTTGCGTTTACCTTTACTTTTGGAAACCCTCAATCCAGATCTGTTACATTTAAATGTTATACAATCTCGCAGGCTAAACTTTCGTCTCCCACTAAATTTTGAACATGTTTCAGCCTCTTCTTTCAATTTCCATGCAAAAAACTCTTGTACAGATTTGAAGCGGAATTTAACAACCTCAACATCGATGCCATGACTGGTATGAAAATGCTTGACCATTTCAAAAACTGTGTTACCAAGTGGATGATATTGGCATATTGGGCAGGTTTTTTTGTGGTCTTGCTTATCGGCTGCATTGTGTTCTACATGTAGGTGGTTTTTTAGCGCTTTCATCTTTTGGAATGTTTGCGTGCACATGGAACATTTAAAGGCTTTTTTCGCATTTTCCTCTGTATCTTCTTCAGAGTCCTCTGATTCATGATTGATTTCCATCTGCTCAGCTGGTTGAGGTGTAGGCTGATCAGGGTCCAAAGTTCCTTGATTGATGCTTCCCGGAAGATTCGATTGTCCACTTGAGACTTCATTTTCTGCAACGTCCTCATAACCTATGGATCGCAAAAAAATGGAGGACAAAAGTATCACTAGGTTACAGGAAAAATTAATAAAATCACTAAATAAGCTCTCATAATATATCTCAGCACAGTAATCTTGCAAGCTCACAAAATATTTATTGACTTTCTAAAGTTCAAAAGTAATGTTTTCACCAAAAAAAAAAAAAAAAAAAAAAAAAAAAAAAATTGTCCTGTAAGAACTGTACGTGATTAATTCAATTTTTGGTTTGATTGCTTTTGAGTTTTGACAGGAAAACATGAACTTTTTAAAAGTCTAGAGGCACTTTTTGGCAGAACTATTGTTTTGAGAACAGCTGAAGACAAGGCTTCAGGAGACTAGGCATCTTTATTTTGGGCCTAAATACATATATGTCAAATTGTAAAGTAGAGTTACTGAGTATTTTTCAATTCATTCTGTTACATTATAACAACAGCCGATGTTGGTCGTGTTTATTGATGATGAAACTGCTACTGTTCTGTACATATTTATCTGTATACACACCTTTGTCCTGAATGTAGTTAAGCATATAGAGCTTTTTTAGCATCTGAGGGAAGCACCTCAATGTTAGGAAAATTGAATATTTAAATATAAATGTTTTACTCCTAAGTGCATAGTGCTTCTAAAGCCTCATGGAAGTTCTTTTGCACACGAAAGCAAAATTACGAGACCCTGAGGGCAAAGACATGAGAGGAAATCTTTATTTTTGCCTGTGGAATCCACAGGCAGCTTGCAATACCTGTTTTTCTTGCACTTGTGATTTTAAAGATCAGCCAGGTAATATGTGAGAGAAAAAAAAGATTCTAGGTATGTTGAGTAATTTTCAAAGACAAAGTAAATTTAAAATGCGTACTCATTCGTGAATAAGTTAATTACAAATTGAAATCCACTGTGACAGTCCTACAACATAGTCGAGGAGATGCAAAAGAACTTGAGAATAAGGCTGAGAACAATGAGAAAGAAAGAAGCATGGAATATTTTGCTTAATTGTTTGAACACTACCTACAATAAAAAAAAGTTAAGTTTTTCATTTCTTTGTACAGTTGATGGGTACGCATGGGCATTGGTAAGTGGATGAAATGGTCATGGTTTTTTCAGTATTGTTGTTGTTAGCCTCATATCAGCATTTTTGCTGTTTCCTTGACTGATGGGTCAGTGAAGGGCCCACTAATTTATGCTTAAAGATGCTGAGAAAGGAATAATATCTTAAATCTAAGAGTGTTGATGAAGCGGAAGAAACTTTCACTCTTTATTATTCGATGAAATGTATTTACTTGTAAAATTTTGCTGCCAAGTTAAAAATGTGAGAAATAACTTAATGCCATAATACTTCCATGAAATTTGCACCAAGCTAAAACTCGCAGTGGCATAACACTTAGAAAAAAATTTCAGTCATGAGAAATGAACAATTTCCAGAATTCACAAGAAAATCCCCCCCCCCTCCCCCCAAAAAAGTATGCAGAAACAAGAGGTTTATTGAGATAAAAAGACCTAAAAAATCTGCATTACTTGACCATTGGTGAAAGATGTTGAAATATATAGATGATACTCTACTTCCCCTTGAATATTTGAATATTTAAATACTTTCATTCTGCCTTTTTTTCCTTTTTTTTAACTTGCTTGAATCTTATTCCTTCTCATTTTCTCACACCTTATCACTTCAGTTTTGGAAATATGAAGGTTTCACTTGTATGCTGAAATATGACATTTTATGAACCCAAAAAAAATCTTGAGTTGATACAGAACGATCCTAGCACGGAGAGACTACAGATTAAAGAGAAGCAAACTGAGCACACTTTGTCTATTTTCCTAGATCAAAATAGTCTAAACTTACAACTAAGCCATCTCTTGTCAAATGTTTGCATAGTTCTTGGGAAAAATGAATGAATAGATACATACCTAAGTCTTTGTTTTCGAGTAGTGCTCGGAGGCGGTTGGGGTTGGGGTTGACAGGATCATCGCACATGATGCCTTCGTATTCCGTACCTGGGCTGTCTTCAATCTTATGGACTCTAGCTCGATGCAATCTCATGTTCTGATAGCGGAGAACACGGTTGCACAACTTGCATTCAATTAGCTTATATGCATTGCAACTTGTCATCTCAAATGCCGACCGATCCAGGGGCTTGTCTGGGTGGTGCCTGGTCATGTGCCGCCGGAAGCGGAGCCGGTCATGTGTTCCATATCCGCACGTTGCACAACTGATTAGCTTTTCATCCATGTTGATATCGTGCACATTCTTCATGTGGACGATTAGGTTCCATTTTTTGCGGAAGACCTTTGAACACAGGCCACATGTATGCGTCACCATTTTGCCTGCTAACAATGAAAGGAATAATTAGATTCCAGAATTTTTTTGATGCAATCAAACCTGTAAGAAAATAAGATTGCATAACACACTCGTTCTGATCAGGTACTCCAACCCAGCACAGATGAGATGCACACCCTTTTATTGTTTTTTGTTTTTTTTTTTTACTACTTCAAGTAGCCCACAAGGGCTAATCCTTGCGCTTGTGATACCGAATTCCAAATTTTGAGGCAATAACACGTGGACTTGATCCGTTGATAGCCAAAAATTCTTAGAATGCCACTGCACTTTCATATAGAGCACATTATTCCCATTTAATAGGGATCTTATTGTTTCTGACAGAGTAACGCCATTTGAATGAAAATAAAATTCTCCCTTGCATCGGCTTCGGTTAGGATGTTGTAATTTTTTCACAAACCATGATGAAGTTAAGAGAAATTGATTAACAGAATCAGAGGCAGTCGGGTTTAATTGCATTGCAATGTTGCAAGGTCTTACCTGCTAATTGTTTCTTTACCCCATGATAGATGGATGCTTGTTTTATAAGGGTAATTTTGGGGGATTTTTTCAAATCGTAAAGAAAATTGACGTAAGCTTCAGTAATACACTGTGCTACCACTGTTGAGTAAATAAGTTGTACAGCAAAACTTTACAGCATTGCAGTGAAATGAAGCTCTTCTGACTCTGACCTTTTGATATATTCCTTACCTTCCTTTAAATATTGCAGTCTCAGACAAAATTACCGATACATTAGGATGTCAGCAGCTGATCTCACATATAAAACAGGTTCATCCAAAAATTCATCTTTTGAGGCATCAAAACCTAAAAAAATAAGTATACAGTAGATTAATTAGTATGCGGAGAGTATTCACCCTTGGCTAAGGTTTCACTCTCATCTTTTTTTATTGATGAAAATATTACAAAGAACTCAATGAAAAAATATACATTTTAAGGATTTAAAGAATTCTGACACAGCATGTTTTACAGCTTGCTGACAAAATTAGAATTCACATGTTTCGAATACAGGCATCCTTAAAGATGGTAGGAGGATTTATATTGCGATATTTGAAATTAGACATTTCATTGGTTAAAACCTAGAATACGTAAGAATATAATGAATACCAGGGCCACATTTAGGGGAGGACCAATGATGCAACGGCACCGAGCAGCAAATTTTGGATTATTTTTTAAGGAAAAAGGGAGGAGAGAGAGAAAAAAAAAAATAGGGAGAAACTCTGGGGCGAATTTCCAGAGCTTTCAATGCCTCGGTAAAACTCTCTACCCCTTAATTTTTCTTTCTATTTTCATCAAAATTATCCCGTAAGTTTTTCTAAAACATGAGTACATTGATGACCAAAGTGCGAAACCACGGATCTCCATTTGCGACGTTGCAAACTTCTTGTGATACCTAGTTCATTTATTCTTTGGAAAAGTAGACAACATATTTTCTTGACAACTCTCTAGAAATTTTCACTTTGTAAGATTATGAGACTGTATGATTATGAATCTCAAGTTACAAAATTTGCTTGTATCTCTTTGAAAAAATAAAGTAGAAGCGGAAATTCTGAAACACTGCGACGGAGGTACGAGGGTTTGCACTTTAGAATCAAAATTTAAGTAATTTAATTTTATACTAAGTACTTATGTTTCATTTTCACCTTTTGAACATCACAAATCCTCATTCTTTGAAGAATCATTTCCTCTTCCTAAAATATTTGTTTGCAACACTCTCCGGCACAAATGCGCATCTTTCTCACTATCGCAGAGTCGGATTACGCTTTTGCCTCGTTTCTGAAACTTATTTTGCACGTATCGCATGTTTCTATAAAATATTACGCTGTATTTCTGGGAGGGGGGGGGGGGCGGCCAAAATTTCTTTGGCACCGGGCACAAAAATCTAAAACCGGCTCAGTACCTAACATAAAATGTAGCTTTCATGAAACCTAGCTTACATTACAGGGCATGCATGCTGATGCAGGTAGTAAGTGTGTTACTTGAGAGTACGCATGTTGGCGAACATAGTCAATGTATCATATTATCTCTGACCCAAGGCCTGAATGAATTCAAACCTAAATGAAACATGCCCATTTCAGTCAAAGAAGCCTTGATTAAAAACTTCAGTTTGTGCCGGGCCGATGTGATAAATCCAACATTCGGTTGGCCCAGATCCTTAGCCAGTAGTCTTAAACATGACTTAACATAAGATAAAGTGAGTTGCAAAGAGAGAAGATAAACTGAAGAGGAATCATACCCCGACTGGCTTTTCCTTGATGCAAAATCGGTGCATGGTGTGCGAGGCACTAGTACAGCACAATGTGAGTTTAATGCCCAAGAAAAATGTCAAAATGTTTAATACCAATAATATTAGGAAGTACACTTAGCAAAGCATATAAAATTAGTCAACTAATTTGGGAAAAACAAAGGATGAAAACATTTTAGTTATGTACTCCAGCACTCCAGCACGAGCGCTTGCTACTGAGATTTCACAGAAGAGAGGAAATTAAATTGAACACAAATGCCAAACCCTCTACAGTGAAGAGTTTTGAAATCCTTTAGTTAATTAAAGCTGGGAGGAATAAAAACACACTCTTAAAACGCTTACTAACTTCGAACTTTATGAGTACTAACTGCACTACTGCATTTTGTTTTTTGTTTTGATAGTAAAGTGAGGTTATGACGGTCCTATTCATCCTATGACGTCATTCTTCAATGTCACAAAAAGTGCCCATTGGCTCAAGCCAAACAGTCAAATCGCTCACGCACGATCAGTCAGCTCCGGCTGCAGAGGACTTTAATTTAATAGTGAGCATTCTCAAGGCAGGTGTAAGTATAAGGATGTAAGTACATACCTATAAAATATCATGTGTACTTAGACATAAAAACACAGTTAGCAGGGTCGGACTGGCACGCATTAGAGGGCGTAGACCCTTGGCTGGTTAAAGGGGCGTAATGTGATATTTCCTGGTAGGGCTTAGGGCATTCCCTACGTGGAGAGGGGTTCAGAAAATTTTGGCAAATCAGCACAAGTTTACGCTATTTTCAGGTTCAAAGTTTATTGATCGCACGGAGTAAAAATTACAAAATTGAACGTGAAGCACAGCATTGAGAGCTCACGCTTCGCGTCATCGCGCCTTCAATTTTTCAGATGCAGCACGGACATCCATCGAGTACGAATAGTTGTATCTCTGCGCCGTCGTAAACACGCATCCTTTCCCTTCCTCTTTTTCCATATTGTGTTTGTTTCCGTTTGTCTCATTCTTAATGGTTCTTCAAACACTACGTGAGTAATACAGCCGAAGGTAGGAGAGATGTCTTCAGGCCTTTTTTCAACTTTTCTCCCGAATCAGAGCGACGCTTCATTGAAAGCATGAAGCAGAGCATTGAGAGCTCAGTAGCTCACGGTTCGCGTCATCGCGCCTTCAATTTTTCAGATGCAGCACGGACGTCCATCAAGTACGAATAGTTGTATCTCTTCGCCGTCAATAACGCGCATCCTTTACCTCGCAGCCTCGTTTTAGTTCCATATTGTGTTTGTTTGCGTTTGTCTTATTTGTAATGTTGCTTCAAACTAGAGCAGAGCATTGCGAGTTCACGACTCACGACATCGCGTCTTACATTTTTCATATGCAATGTGGACATCCGCATCTTGCGCGAATAGTTGTATCGCGTTTACATTTTAGATGTCTCTTATTTTTGAATTTCGAGATAAATTAGGGTTAAGCTTGCCCGAGCTATGCTATGGTAAGTCCAAATCAATAGTCATTTGAAAAGCAGGAAATATGTTAATATAAAGGTCTCTTAAGAGGTCTAAAAAGGATGCGTATGTCTAAAAATCGAACCGACCATCGCTTCTAGGGGAGTTGGACCGAGTTTAACAGAAAGGAACCAATCCACATCTGCTATTGCCAAATTTAACCGGGCAATTTAATTTTTTACGAGAGATCGTTTGTGCGGATTCCTTTGAAATTTTTAAGGAATTTGCTTCAAATTATGGAGAATTTTCACTGAAATTTGCACGAAAATCCGCACAACCGTTTTCATGAAAAAAATTAACTTGCCCGATTAAATTTGGCAATAGCTGATGTGGCTTGGTTCCTTTCTGTTTAACGCGGTCCAGTTACACATAGCGAATGAAGGAGGGGGATGATAAAGCTCCTGTATGTCAAGAAGAAGGTGAAAATTTCACAGAAAATTTTTTACGCTTCAGAAAGTAGTTCTTAATGGACCTTTGTTCACCACTATCATGCGTTAAAGCACCTTTCTTTACTCCTAACTCTCCCTTCTTTCGTTCATTTAAGAAATTTTTCTCACATATTCTCGGTCGTCATTTTTTTTCTTCCTCTCATTTTGCTATCTGTAAGAGGGGCGCGTTTTCGGCGCGCAAAGGGGGCGTATCTGCCAATGACAGATTGGCCATATGGCCAGTCCGAGCCTGACAGTTAGCATGAACGTAAGATGAGCAGCTACAGCTCACAACTAGTCCAGAACTGACTTTTCCGTGTGCAGGAGTGCAGGTTCTCTAAAAAATGGTCTAAAATTTGATTTTTTCCATTTTTTGAAGGGGGAAAAATTTTGCAGTTCTTAGACAATCTGTTTGAGTGTGAGACAAAAATTTCTTTCACCTTCTTTTAGTAATGTATTTTTAGAAAAGGAAAGTTATTTGGTTTAGATGGAGTTTTTTTAGAAGAAAATATAAGTAGCTACTAGCTTCGTCGTTAATTTATTTAGGGGTTTGGTTATTTTTCGTCGAATTGTTAGACCAATTTTTTTCCCCTCTCCTTCTTCTTTTCAAGTCGAAGGTAATATGTTTTACACTGTTGAGACGTTTTTGTAATTTTTTCTCATAGGCGGATCCAGACTTTTCGAATGGAAGCCCGGCCGATGGTTCCGGGTGGCTACACTGAAAAAAAAATCTCGGTGTATTTACTAAGAAAAGGGTAAAATTACCAAGAATTCAGGGTTCTATTTGATCCCAGTTTTTTCTTGGTAAAATTACCATTTATGGAATTGAACTTTCTCGGTAATTTTACTGGACCTTGGCAAAAACGCCAATATTTTTTATCGACTGTGGTAGAATTACCGAGCTAAAATGGGAATTGATTACCAATAAAAGTGGTATTCTTACCTGAAAAAAACAGTAAAAATACAGGTTTTTAGGTAAGCTTACCAGTCTGTCTTGGTAAAATTACCAATAATCGGTAAAAAAAGTGAGATGGTAAAGGTACCAACGGACCTTGGTAAAAACGCCGATAATTTTTTTTCGGTGGCTATCCCCAGAAAATTTTCGAAATTTTAAATAGGTAGGTAATTTAATATGCTGTCTGAGTCAATTTTGTCATGAATTATTACCAAACATGCATTGACGTTCTTCCTTCCATCTTCTTTCGTCCGTTTCTTTCTCCTCTCTTTCTTCATCCTTTTTTTCAGGTGAACGGGATGGGCACACGCCCTTTACGCCCCTCTTGGATTCGCCTATCTTTTTTTCAGTTTACAGGCAAAGGCGGATTACCCCGCCGAAAACATCGGTGTGCCCTAATTTTTGTGGGCCCTCTGCGCCCTCAGGACTTTCCGAAACCCTTTTCAGTGATAACCGCCTCCTCCCCGCACCCACTCGAAGACCAAAGGGCCAGTGTAGTGGCCTTGCGTACTAGGCGACAGATTCAACATTTCGTAAAACTATATAAAATGAAAATTCATGAAATTTTGTGAAATATTCTCAGCAAGATGAAATTTCTTTTTGCATCTCTGGCTGCCTACAGTTATCCATTCTGAAAATTACGTGATATAATCTCACTCCATCCAGGGGTGCAAAAACTTCGCGAACACGCGACCGGGCGGGTTGTGATCGGTCGCGTGTGAAAATGGAGGTTTCCGAAAACGATGTTCTCAGATGAAAAAACCGGAACAATCGCGTTTTCAATTGGAAAGCGGCGGTGACTATCACGTGTTTTCCTCAAAATAGCGGCAAATTGTGCGTAAAGAGCCTTATCAACAGGGCCAGATTAAGGGGGTGTCCATATGGGCCGCGGCCCATGGCGGCAAAATGTAGGGGGCGGCAAATTTTACAATCTTTTTGAATGTAGGTATCAAAAAAAGAGCGAAAAAAATCGAATTCAGAAAATAAATTACAAACAAGAAAAGGCGACAAAATCTCTCATTTCCTAAGAGTAGAAGTATAGTAATTTCTAATTTTGTCGTCTTTTGGTGATACAAGAGACAGCACCTTTAATTAGTCGAGTTAAGAGAGAAACCAAACACGCAATTTGACCTGGAACGGCGCAGCGGCGCGGCGATCGGCATGAAACGCATAGCGCCTACAAGACTGCATGAATACTTCACGCATTGCGCCAACACGGAGCGGTCGGCGCGGCGGTAGAAGTTGAAATTTTTAACCACATTTATGTTTGTTCTTTCATAATATTTTCGTTCGTTTTTTATAAATGGAAGACCTTGTCCAAACAGGGATGGGTTTACGGAACTGAACTTTTGTTGGTGTTGACAGGCAGGGGTTTTACAAAAAAATGTGCCCAACAAGAGTAAACGCATCTCATACACCCCTCCGCCACCGGCACGTTCACTTCATGGTTTTTATAGATCGTATTCGACAGATCACACAGGTGAGATTATATTGATATCGATTGGTTCAATATGTAACCACAGCCTCAAAAGTCAATTCAGAAATCTGAGGTAACGGGTCTTATGTGATCAAATTTTTATTCTCTCGAGTACCAAATGGCAATGAAAAGTGAAATTGTTAGGAATTTTCTCATTTTCAGCTTTTCCAAATTAAATCCTAAAATTTTTGTTTGAGGTTATATTCTATTGTTTTGAACCAAACGATACATCGAACCACGGTCGAATATACGATCTATTGATGTTTCAAAACAAATGAGAAGGGGGCGGAAAAATCCAGGCGGCCCATGGGCGGCAAGTAGGTGAATCCGGCCCTGCTTATCAAGGTAATTTTTAGTGTATTTTCCGAAGGAAATACACTATTGCGTTCTCCCATGATGTCGGACCCAGACCCGAGACCTTGTGAAGAGCACCGATCACGGGTCGTAGATCACGAAAATATATGCCATTCAAATTCATGTGTATATATATGTATGTAGTTAGTTAGTTAGTTATTATAATTTTGAGACATTCAGCGACTCAGGCTATTAACGTCTTTACAGGTAATTTTGAAAATATATAGGAGTATAAACGAAAATTTAGATTTTTAAATTAAGAGAGGTAAAGAGTTTCAGAATTTTGGTGGCAATATTAGGTTCATCGCATGTAAGAGGGTTTGTATTTCTGTTGAATGAAGGGGAGTAGATCTGTGATTGGTGATGTCGGAGGGAAGAGCAGTCCATAAGTATGTGTTTGATGGTTAGAGGTGATGAATTGCAGAAGTGGCAGGTGGGTTGGTTTTCTTTAGATATGATATAATAGTGAGTGAAAAAAGTGTGACCTATCCTGAGACGCGCAATTTGGACTTCACATGATCTTGATTTGTGGTTAGATGTTCTTGGATATGGCATGGGGGCTCTACGGAGACGATTCTGTTCACTTGTGCTCCATTCTTGTTCCCACGATTTTGTGATATGTTCGCACATAGCTTTTTTAGCATCTTGCTGAGTGAATGGATGGTGAGTGATGTTCTGCAAAGAGCATGCTTCAGTGG